AATCATAATGTTCATAAAAATAAATAATCCCCAACTTGCAGGACTGTTTTGAGGATTCGAGAGGACATATCTAAAAGCAATTTTACTGATAGAAAAATCACTTTATAAATATTACTTAACTTCCTGATTAATACTTTGCCTGTAGGGGTTTCTTATTTATAACAAAATGTATATATACGAGTGGCAATTTTCCAAATATTTAAACACAATAAAATGTATTAAGAGTAAAGTTCCACTATGTATTTCATATTCTTGTTATTCTGAAGGCATGTTAGGGTCTTGGCATGCCTTGTAATTCTAATTTACTGCACCAATTATTCCAGTAGATTGGAGAGTTGGATAATCATTCAACCCTGAGATCAACAAAAGTGGCTTTTCTATACCGAGTTTTACATGGAACCTACCCTTCCTATGCCCTTCGTACTCACAGATGCTCCAATGATAATCCTAACTAAAACCTAACACTCGTTACAATTTACTTAGACAATTCCAGTGACGGCTATGCTAGGCCTAGACCACAGAGATCTTGTCTGGGGTCAAGGACAGGTGAGAATGAAGCATGGGATTTGATTTGAGCTTGCCTTTGCTTGGGTTTCTCCTACTACAGCTTATCAGCAGTGTCAAGGATACAACTAACACTGTACCTAGGTGAGTGGCCATAGGTTTCCCGTGATTTGTGTGTTTATTTCATGGAGATGCTTCCAAAGTTTGTTGGCCTTGGCTGATAGAAATTCTGTGAGTTTGGAAGAGTACAAAATTAACTGCTTTTATATCAAGCTTCCCAAAATACCTTATTTGGGCAAACAATGCAGTAATTTGCCACTCAGCAAACCAAAGTCTCCAGGGTTCAGGTTCTGGGCCTTGAAGTTCTTGCTTGTACTCGAGCCTGGCCTATGTTATCCCTGCAGGAAAAGTCCCTTTAGTGATTGCCTGTGTGGGTTCACCATATCCACAACACACGTCTGGGTTCATGGTCTGATCAAGCTGTCACCTAGAAGAGGCAGAGACGGCCAGAAACAGCACCCTACACTGCAGCACTGCGCTTCGTTCTTTGGATTACCTTTGCTGCTTCTCGGTGGTTCTGTTTTAAAATATAATTCCTCTTGAGAAAGGTTATCACAAATCAGTTTTTATCTGCTTTTTAAGGCTTCTTTCCTGATGGAAACAGCGCTGTAAAGACCCTTGGATCCTTGTGGGGTGAAATGAGATTTAGAAAGATGGAGAAACTGGGAAAAAGGGTGTCTTGAAGTGATGGCAAAACCATCTATCTCCATGATTTTGTCTGGAGTCTGCCTGGCCAAGGTGCCTTTGGCTTGTATACAGTCGGAGCAACCTGGTGGAGCTGCCCGCAGCGGAGGGTGGGGGCTGCTCCAGGAAGTGCCTGGGAAGGTCACGGTGGCCCCCTGTTGCCCTCAGTGGTGGCCACATGCAGTGCTGCACTCACAAGGCTGAGAGGCCTCTGGGGCTTTCAGGAAGGAGGGGGTTGATACTGTTGATAAATAATTCCTCTGTACCGTATTTAGCATTGGCCACCACTGAAAATTGTTTGCTTCAATTTGAGTTTGCAACTGGGCCCATGGCCAGGAGGACTAATAGCAAAGGAACTGGAAAGAGATGTGCACATTTTCCCCATCCATCTATCCATCCATATCTCTCTCCATCCCTCCTTCCTTTCATCCACCCCGTCTTCGGGGATGTTTTTAATGTGTTTTTATACTCTAGAGAACACTGGTCAACTGCCATGGAAGACAGAGTGCTCAGTTAGATTTGGTCTCTACCACTAAGGAATTTTCACTTTAGCAAGGGTGATAAAACATATGCACAATAAAATTAATCACTGAACATTTATTTGTCTTTCTGTTGAGGAAGACACAGTCTCTGTCTCTCTTCAATAAACTTAGGTTGTGTGACTTGGATCGGTGAAATGTGAAAATAATCCTGATAAAAGGCGTGTTGTGATACGTGACATGAAAGACACATGAATAAAATGCCCTGGGAATGAGAGTGGGAAGGTCACTTTTTTTTTTTTTTTTGGGCCTGGGGTTGAAATGGGAGGGGAAAGTATAATTGAGCTGGGGGCATGAGCTGGATGAGGGAAGATGGAGATGACGGGGGAGCAAGGTCGGGAGTCCTGCGCCAAGCTGAAGGAAGATGAAGATAAATAAAGGCTAAGACACTGATGGTGGGAGAGTAGAAAGCTTGTAGCCATGGAAGGTTGCTGAGCAGGTGAGGAACATGACGGAAGCTCTGGGCTGGAAAGAGTTCTGGCAGCACAGCAATTGAACCAAACGGGCCAGAGGAGGCCAAGGCAGTGGGTGGGGAGACTCAGCAAACAGTTCAAGTGGGCCGAGTTGGTGAGTGCTTAAGGTACGGTGGAGTAACAAGTTTGATGTACGGACCTGCTAGAGGTGGCATCTCCGTGAATAATAACATTTGAGAGTGGTATTTATGGAGTATTTATGGAGCCCCTTTTTCGTGCTGGCCAGTATGGTGCTGAGTGCTTGTTCACATTCAGTTTTCATGGCCACCTTTTATGGCAGGGACTTCTATCATCTGCACACTGTGCATGAGGAAACCACATTGTCTAGGGATTAAGTCAGTGGCTTAGGTCACTTAGTTTTAAAAAAGTAGCAGTGCCTCATTTGGGGTAGCACCTGCCAGGCTGGAGAGCTGGAAACCATCATGCCACACTGCCCTCCACCTGCCAGCCCTTGGAACGTTCTCTTGCGGAGCCTTCATGCATACAAATGTGTGCCTTACAGCCGAACAATGGCCTCGGACCAGATCAAGGCAAGATCAATGACATTTCTCATTGTAGGTGCGTATTTTAGGAAATGGATGCTGGCTGTATTTTTAACTTCCCTTTCCATCTCTTGTTTGTAAAGCTCTACAGGCTCACTTTGACCCTGTGACTTCAAACTGTGTTGCAGCTAATACAATTACCAAGGGTCCTATTCCTCTCCTCTATTTGGGCCTCCATCCAAAGGGCCCATGCCTTTACCACTCTAGAGATGCCCATAGCACAGTAACCCTGGAGCCAGACGGCCTGGGTTGGTTTTCCTGCTCTGTCCTGTACTTGCCGCGTGCTCCTGGGCATCACTCAGTCTCTGTGCACTTGGCTTCCTCCTCGGAGAAGGGATCCTACTAGGAGGACTCCTTTACCAGGAAGGCGAAGGGATTCCATGAGGCATCTCCCAGAACCCGGGAGCAGGGCCTGCCTCAGCAAAGGTGTTACGTGTACTGATTGTTATTTTTTGATTACTTGGGAGTTGCTTATTCCTGCTTTCTTTCAAGGCTGTCTTGGTTTCCTTTCCCCATCTCTTCAATATGCTTCTGCCAGCCTTGCTTGCATGGATCTCGGGAACTCTTCTGTTATCAAATGACATTGGGAATCCATTCCTGGGGCTCTTTTTTAACCTTTCCTCATGTTGTGCAGTTTATGTAGGAGGCAATCTGTTTTAACTAGCAATAGCCTGGACACTGAGTTCAGATAGATGAGGCTCAAGCCTGGTTTTGTCATTTACTCGCTCTATGACCTTGGACAAACTATTCCTCTATTTCTTATTAGTTACGGTGTCGCTAGTTGCTGTAACTGATGAACCTTCAAAGACACAGGCTTGGTTCTGTAGAAGTTTATTTCCAGCAAAGTAAGAAACAGGTGCTTCTGAGTGAGGTGAAAGGGCTCCAGGCTTGTCCTGTTTGGCAGGTCATCTCCAGGAACACCCTGGGGTAGTTCACACCACAGTGGCTTGCGTTGCACTCTTTAGGACTTAGACAGATGTTGTTACCCAATGGAAAAAGAGCCTGGGAAACTGTGTCTGTTGTCTGCATAAATAACAGTGCATGCTTCCTCACAGAATACCTCAAAGCTCGGTGGCTTGGGAGCATCTGTTATCACCCTTGATGTTTTGCAGTTTACCTGCACCTGGCTGACTGAGCTGGACTTGGCTAGGTGGATAAGTTGGGCCTTTTGCTGTGGTATTGGGGTCAGGCTTATTCCCCACATATTCTTGTTGTGGTACAGGCTCAAAAGGCAGTTGCCACCTGAAGGAAGTGCTTCTCAAGATGACAATAGAAGCACAGGGGTGTGTTTCTTTCCTGGAGCTGCCATACCAAAATACTAAGTCATCAGTAGTTTATCCTTCCATCCTTCTGGGAACTGGATGTCCAAAATCAAGGTGTCAGCAGGGCCATGGCCCCCTCCAAAAGCTCAAGGGAAGAGTCCATTCTTGCCTCTTCCAACTCCTGGTGACCCCAGGCCTTCCTTGGCTTGGGCAACCTTACTCCAGTCTCTGTCTCCAACTTCTGTGGCCTTCTCTGTGTCTCTGAGTCCTGTCTCTTACAAGGACATGCACTGGACATAGAGTTCTCTTTACTTTAGTAGGCTCTCTTCTCAATCCTTAATTTAATGATATCAGCAAAGACCCTATTTCCAAATAAATTGCAGTCTGAGGTTCAAGGTGGAATGAAATTTTGGGAGACATTCTATCAGGCTGAAGCCAGGAACCTAGAACACCATCCAGGTCTCCCATGTGGGTGCAGGGGCCCAAGCACTTGGTTCATCTGCTGCTGCTTTCTCAGGTGCATTAACAGGAAGCTAGACTGGAAGTGGAACCACCAGGAGTGAAACAGGTGCTTATAGGGGATGCCAGTGTTGCACATGGCAGCCTTATCTGCTGTGCTCCAATGCTGACCCCATTTGCTTGCATTTTGTTGGCAAAAGCAAGTCACATGGCCAAGCTCTTAGTTCAGGGGCAACCAAGAATGCTCCATTATTGGTTGGAGGAACTACAAAGTCACCTGTTAAAGGATGTTATAGAGGGATGTAAAGGAATGGGACCCACCCAACCTATGGCAAAAGAGCAGTTTGCAGAAGCGCAGATGAGACTGGTTGGTGGCTCTGTAATGCTTCCTGGCCCTCCGCGTATTCCTCTGCCAGAAATGGATTCCCTGAGAAGTAGATGACTCCTGGGCTTATTGCAATGATTCAAGGTTAGTACATGTGAGCTGCTTAGCATACTGTGGCACGTGGTAAGCATGGAATTAACTCTGTGATCATTCCAAGACTTCCATTGTTTCTCTACCATCTGTTTCATTTTTTTTTTTTTTGACAGAGTGGACAGAGAGAGAGAGAGAGAGAGAAAGGTCTTCCTTTTGCCATTGGTTCACCCTCCAGTGGCCGCCACGGCTGGTGCACTGCAGCCAGCACACCGCGCTGATCCGATGGCAGGAGCCAGGTGCTTCTCCTGGTCTCCCATAGGGCGCAGGGCCCAAGCACTTGGGCCATCCTCCACTGCACTCCCAGGCCACAGCAGAGAGCTGGCCTGGAAGAGGGGCGACCAGGACAGAATCAGGCGCCCCGACCGGGACTAGAACCCGGTGTGCTGGCGCCGCTAGGCGGAGGATTAGCCTATTGAGCCGCGGCACCGGCCCTGTTTCATTTCTATTACTCCTTATTTTCCCACACTCTTCTCACAATTTTCATCAACACAAATAATTTCCACTCACATTAACAACAACAACAAAAAACCACTCCTGCTGAAGAATCCTGTTACATGAGAATTTGGAATAAGGAGGATTCTCAATTAGGGGGAGGAATAGCTACATAGGACACTAGCTGTTACAGCTATGGATAACAGTGGGAATTCAGTGAACCACATATGTGCTTTGACCTCCTGGAAGTGGGGTTGCTGTGGGTTGAGGTAAGTGGCGGAGCTCTCCTGAAGGCAGTGGGAATTGAGTTGGAGCTCACTGTTGCAGAGCAGAAATAATCCAGCTCCGTTTTGGAGCCTGATGAGATAAGGACAACATGGCAAAGGAGGCTGTGTCATCTTCTAAGCTGGCCTCTGGGCCCTGGCAGAGAAGGACGCTGTCCTGGGGAACAGGTTCCCTGGCAGCAATCACACTCTGTTTAGAATATGAGTTGCTCGATGCTAATGAGTCACGTTTCGTCATTTCCGGGAGGTGATGCTGGAGAAGACACTGTTGTTGCATGAAACCTTTTTAGAAAAACTGTTTATTTGGTGGAGTCTTTAGGTTAGCTTTTGGACCAAAATAAATTTTTGAGGAGTGATTCACTTCCAACCTACATGGCATGCACAGACGCAGCTAATGTGAAATGCTGTTGATGCGTTTTTTTTCTTTCTGTTTTAAGAGCCAGTATGGAGTTTTGGCTGAAGTTACAGGATTTCTTGATTTCCATGAAGGTGATGCTGCAGAGCTGTGCCCGTGGGAAAGGATGCTGACCTGGTAAGGCTGGATGAAGGTGCTGGATGCAGTGAGCCAGAAGCTCAAACAGTGAAAATGGTCATGGGGACTCTGCATTTGCTGACTGTTGTAACTCCAAGAACTTCAGGGAGGAAAGCAGTAGTGTATACCAGCTGCTTGGTTGCTAATTCCTGAGGCTTTAATTGTAAATTTTATGTAAAGATACATGTGTTTTAGATTATCTTTTTTTTTTTACAGGCAGAGTTAGACAGAGAGAGAGAGAAAGGTCTTCCTTCCGCTGGTTCATACCCCAAATGGCTGCCACGGCTGGCGTGCTGCGCCTATCTGAAGCCAGGAGCCAGGTGTTTTTTCCTGGTCTCCCATGCAGGTACAGGGCCCAAGGACCTGAGCCATCCTCCACTGCCGCTCCACATGGGCAGGAACTTAAGTACTTGTGCCATTATCTGCCGCCTCCCAGTTGCGTTAGCAAGAAGCTGGATCAGAAGCCTTTAGTAGCAGGGACCTGACCAAGCCCTCCTACATGGTTGTAGGCATCCCAAGCAGGGGTCTAACCCACTGCAGCACAATACCCTCCCTTATTTCTTCCAGTATGACTTCTGGTAGATTGTGTCTTTCAGGAATTGTTGCATTGAATGTGGGCTATCAAATTTGTTGGCATAAAGTTGTTCATTGTATTCCTTCATTATCCTTTTGTGTTTATTGGATATATAATTTTTACCTCTTTCATTTATGCTATTTTGTTCTGTTCTTTGACTAGAAACTTATATATATGGATATCTTTGAAGATTTTATTTATGTGAGAGGTAGAGTTACAGACAGTGAGAGGGGGAGACAGAGAAAGGTCTTCCATCTGCTGGTTCACTCCCCAAATGGTCGCAATGGCCAGAGCTGTGCCGATCTGAAGCCAGGAGCCAGGTGCTTCTTCCTGGTCTCCCATGCGGGTGTAGGAGCCCAAGGACTTGGGCCATCTTCTGCTTTCCCAGACCATAGCATTTCTTCTGCTTAGTTTGGATTTATTTTCTCTTCTTTTTCTAATTTCCTACAGTAGAAGCTTAAGTTGTTGATTTAAATCTTTCTTCTCTTCTAAGATATGCATTTAATACTATAAATTTCCCTCTAAACATTTCTTTTGCTTGATCACCCAAATTTAGATATGTTGTATCTCCGTTTTGTTTCATATTTTAGTTCAAAATAATTTCAAATTTTTCATGCTCTGCTTTCTTTGTCTCATGTTTTATTTTTTAATGATTTATTTTATTTATTTGAAAGGTAGAATTATGGGGAGAGGGAAGAGACAGCTTCCACTTGCTGGTTCACTCCCAAAATGGCCATAATGGCTGGGGCTGGGCCAGACCGAAGCCAGGAGCTTTCGCCAGGTCTCCCTTGTGGGTGCCAGGGGCCCAAGCACTTGGACCATCCTCTGCTTCTTTCCCAGGCACTCCAGCAGGGAGCTAGATTGGGAGGGAGCAGCTAGGACTTGGATGGTGGTTCTCTGGATAGCTCTAGTCTCTGGGTATGCTCCTTCATCCCATCCATGGTGTTAGAGAATTTCAAGTTTTCATTTTGCAGGTTCTGTAATACTGTTTTTTTTTTTTTTTTTAATTTTTTTGACAGGCAGAGTGGACAGAGAGACAGAAAGGTCTTCCTTTGCCGTTGGTTCATCCTCCAATGGCCGCTGCGGCTGGCGCACCGCGCTGATCCGACGTCAGGAGCCAGGTGCTTCTCCTGGTCTCCCATGGGGTGCAGGACCCAAGCACTTGGGCCATCCTCCACTGCACTCCCAGGCCACAGCAGAGAGCTGGCCTGGAAGAGGGGCAACCGGGACAGAATCCGGAGCCCCGACCGGGACTAGAACCCGGTGCGCCGGCGCCGCTAGGCGGAGGATTAGCCTATTGAGCCGCAGCGCCAGCCAATACTGCTTTTTAAAAATGGGCTTCATTTAAAAAGTGATGACTTGTTTTCATCCTTTTTACAGGCAGAGCAGTAGAGAAAGGGAGAAGGGAGAAAGTGCACTTCCATTTGCTGATTACTCCCCAAATGTTTGCAAGAGCCAGGGCTGGGCAAGGCTGAAGCAAGGAGCTGTGATCTCTGGGTCTCCCATATGAGTGTCAGGGATCAAATATTTGGGTCATCGTTTGCTGCATCCAAGGGTATGCAATAGCAGGAAGCTGGATCAAAAGTGAAGTAGCCAGGACTAGAAATGATGGCCTGATAAGAGATGTAGTGTCCCAAGTAGTGGCTTAACCTGCTGTGCCACAACTCTTGCTCCTGTAATAGCATTAAAATGCTGTCCTCTCCCCATTTTAGAAGTCTGTCTGTTCTTTGTAGGTAGGGGATTAAGTCCATGCTCATTGGGTCCTCATACTCTGGCTCCCCATCTGTTCAAACTGATCACCCAGGATTGTTGCTAGACAACCAGAGGCAGCCTCTGTGCTTCAGGGCCCACTAAAGATGTTCAAACCAGCCATCCCTATACCCGTGTTGCTAGTTCCTCGCCTCTCACAATAAAGGGGTTTGGCTGTAGATGCCCCCTCTCTTTGTCTTGTGATGGGCCCCATTGATTCTTCCCCTGTCTTTTTTTTTTTTGCCAGGCAGAATTAGACAGACACACACACACACACAGAGTTAGAGACAGAGAGAAAGGTTTTCCTTCCATTGGTTTACTCCCCTAATGTCCGCCACAGCTGGCGCTGCACCGATACAAATCCAGGAGCCAGATGCTTCTCCTGGTCTCCCATGTAGGTGCAGGGACCCAAGTACTTGGGCCATCCTCCACTGCCCTCCTGGGCCACAGCAGAGAGCTGGACTGGAAGAGAAGCAACCGGGACTAGTACCCGGCGCCCCAACTGGGACTAGAAGCAGGGGTGCCGGCGCCGCAGGTGGAGGATTAAAGTGAGCCATGGCGCCGGCCTCCCCTTTTTTCAAGGCGATCATCTTATGATCTGTTGGCCTTACCATACTTCAATAATTAGAAAATCTATTAAAACAGGGCGTGGTCTGAGTGCCCCACTATGCAGGGATCAGACCTTTGTTAGTTTTAGGCTAAAGGATGACAAAAAAGGGAGATCATGTCACCTGTGAATATCATGTGGCCTTGCTCACCTGTGCTATTCCGGCAGGATCACTGTGTACTGGGGAGCACTGTTACACATGGCAGTGTGTACCCATATATGTTTGTACTTTTCTCATAGCCCTAGAAATTAAATGTCATAAAGAATCTATCATTGCAACTTATAATGCTAAAACTTCAACTTCCTTATGATTTACTCATTTACATAATTTACTCAAACCATTTATTTTTGCCATTTTGAATTTTCCCCCCACTAAACTAATTCATTCATAAGAATCTTAGTACAAAACTCTGCTAGTCTTTGGGGCCTGAGCCACCTGGGAAGCTGGCATCCCATATGGGCACGGGATTGTGTCCTGGCTGCTCTATTTCTTATCCAGCTCCCTGCTAATGGCCTCGGAAAAGCAGTGGAAGACTGACCAAGTGCTTGTGCCCCTGCATCCATGTAGCAGACCCAGAACCACCCCCCCGTGCTAATCATGCCTTTCAAATACATAAATAAATCTTAAAAAATGAATATGTATTTGAATTAAAACTGCATCAAGTATTAGGATTTTTTTCTTTATGTACATTCCTGAAATCTTTTTCAAACTATTTTTTTAAATATTTATGTATTTTAAAGAGTTACACAGAGAGGGGAGAGGCAGAGAGAGCGAGGTTTTCCATCTGATGCTGTCACTCCCCAATTGGCTGCAACGGTTGGCGCTATGCTGATCCAAAGCCAAGAGCCAGGAGCTTCCTCCAGGTCTCCCACGCGGATGCAGGGGCCCAATTGGGCCATCCTCCACTGCTTTCCCAGGCCACAGCAGAGAGCTGGATCGGAAGTGGAGCAGCCTGGATTGGAACCACGCCCATATGGGATTCCAGCACTTCAGGCCAGGGCGTTAACCTGCTGCACCACAGTGCCAGCCCTCAAACTATTTTATACTTTGCCATTCCATATTCTATAATATTTAAAAATTAAGAATTACAGAGGTAGAACTTTTAAAAATTAAATGCAAAGCTGTTGGCTGGCGCCGCGGCTCACTAGGCTAATCCTCCGCCTTGCGGTGCCGGCACATGGTGTTCTAGTCCCGGTCGGGGCGCCGGATTCTGTCCCGGTTGCCCCTCTTCCATGCCAGCTCTCTGCTGTGGCCCAGGAGTGCAGTGGAGGATGCCCAAGTGCTTGGGTCCTGCACCCCATGGGAGACCAGGAGAAGCACCTGGCTCCTGCCATCGGATCAGTGCGGTGCGCCGGCCGCAGTGTGCTGGCCGCGGCGGCCATTGGAGGGTGAACCAACAGCAAAAGAAGACCTTTCTGTCTCTTTCTCTCACTGTGCACTCTGCCTGTCAAAAAATAAAAATAAAAAAAAAAATGCAAAGCTGTGAGCCTGTCTCATGTTGTGAAATGAAATGTGGGAACTGTGTTTGGAAAACACAATCCCTGCTCCTCACGACCATTCTAGTGAATGCAAACCTCTTTCACTTGCATTTTTAACAAACTCCTCTAGTTTTCCTCATGTGCACTGCAGTGCATTTTCTTTTATAGATAAGGAATGTGAGCTGAGAGAGACTGCATGTCTTTCTCGGTGACCCAGATCCATGGTTTGTAATGCAGATGGTTTGAGCACACTTTGAAAATGCTAAGCCAGAAGCCATTTTAGAGTCCTCAGTGCCTTAGCCCCCGCTCTTGGGGTCATCTCCTGACCTACCCTGTAATTAGAGGTCTGGAGATGGTTCCACTGCAGTCGCTCTTTGACTTGATAAGCATTCAACTTATTTGTGCCTCACACAATGAAAGAAATTCATTTATTAGTCATTAGTCAATTTACTGTTTGAAAAAAATAGCTTATGTGTTTTGTCCTTTTCCAGTTAATGCTCTATGTTGCTGTTAGGAAACTTGTTGTCATGATCTGGCCTTTAGTCCAGTGATTTGGAGGAAATTGCACAGCAGAGGGAGATGGAGAGGAGAGACTCCAGGTCTCCGAGGGAGGGTTCAGTGCAGGGCCTGTAGTGAATGGCACACCTTACTTGCCATGTAGGGAGAGGAAAGACTACATAAGCGAGTGTATTTGAGAACATGCTACCCAGCCCTATTCCTGAAGTCCCATCCGTGCACCCTAATCAGGGACGTATTCTGGAAAATTGATGACAGAAGAGAGCATGCTTCTTAGATGTTAGTGAACATCAGTGTTGTTGTTTTTGGTTTTTGTTTCTTTTGCCCAGAAACCTTTTATTTAAAGTATACAAACTTCATACATTTTATAAATACAACTTTAGGAACATAGTGATAGTGATTCTTCCCACCATACCTACCCTCCCACCCCCACTCCTACTCTTCTTCCTCCTCCCTCTCCTATTCCCATTCTTATTTTTTACTAAAATCTATTTTCAATTAACTTTATACACAGAAAATTATACTATGTAAAGACTTCAACAAATGGTATGAAAAAACCACAACTCTCTGCCTTAGCAGTTTTATTTAATTTCTCTTGATTTCTTCTATGACCGACTGTTCATTCAAGAGCATACTGTTCAGTCTCCATGTGTTTGCACATGTTTTATGGACTCTGGAGCTGTTGATCTCCAGCTTTGTGCCATTGTGGTCAGACAAGGTGCATAGTATGATTTCTTTTTTTAAGATTTATTTATTTGAAAGTCAGATTTACACAGAGAAGGAGAGAGCAGGGTGGGGGAGGGAAGAGAGAGAGAAAGAGAGAGAGGTCTTCCATCTGCTGGTTCACTCCCCAATTGGCCACAATGGCTGGAGCTGTGCTGATCTGAATCCAGGAGCCAGGAGCTTCTTCCTGGTCTCCCATGTGGGTACAGGGTCCCAAGGACTTGGGCCATCTTCTACTGCTTTCCCAAGCCATAGCAGAGAGCTGGATCAGAAGTGGAGCAGCTGGGTCTTGAACCAACCCCCATATGGGACTATGCCACAGCGCTGGCCCCAGTATGATTTCTTTAAAATTTCAGTTTCATGAGAAATTTTCTTCCATGTATGGATTTCATTAGTTTATGGATTTGCTTCTGATTACTCCTAAGTAATCCTATGATCATTTTTTTATTCCGTTTCTGGCATTTCTTCAGTCTCTTCATTTTCACATTCTAGTATTGAAGTGTGTTCCTTTTGGGGGGGTGTCATGTTGTCTTCCTTATTCTTGTTTCTTGAATTGCTGTGTTTATTTTTAGGCATTTGCGGGGGTGCTTATTGGTTTATTTTATCTTTCCTTGTGTTGGCTTTTATCTTTGGACTCTGCCTCTGTGTCTGCTGGACACTGGAGTGTCTGCTCTTTCAGTGAATACTGAGGCCTGCCTGTGCTGGGCGTGGCTAGGGAGCTCTGTTCAGTGCTCTGGGGTGAGGGGACTTTCCAAGGTGACACCCAGATTGGGAGTGGTATTTTTTTTTTTTTTAATCAGAGGGGAGGTTTGTTCAGCTCTGTTGTTGTAGGCTTACCTCTTCTCCTCCAAGGAGACCAATGCCTGGGTGCTAGCCCCAGTGGGTACAGTATTTGTGCTGCCACAAGAACCACACAAAGGATTTGTGCAGTCCTCGGTGTGAGCACAGATCCCTCAGCAATGACCCTCACCAGGGAATCGGGGAGCCCCTCGTGTGTGGAGCCACCCACAGTGACTGCCCAAAGACCCAGCCACACCTGTGTCCTCCCACGTAGCCACAGGGTTTTCACAGTCCCAGCACACAAGGCTCCCACAGTCACAGCACCCAGCCCCCTGTCAATTCTCCCAGCCAGACTCAGGTGTCTCCTCCCAGCTGGCTGCTGGCTGCACAGACAGGAGCTGGCACAGCTGTTATATGTGTCTAAAATGGCACCCACTTGCTCTCAGCTAATTATGGGACACTGGTGGTCAGGGAGAGAGAAACTTGCCCCCCACTTTTTTCTCTAGGTTGCCAGGTACACTGTCCCCCACAGGGGTCCAAGCCAGACTCACTCCAAGCTCTTCTTGCAGCTTTGTCACCAGTGGCTTGGGCTGTTGCAGTCTGGTCTTACCTCACTCTCCAAAGCTGGTGCTGAGGCTGTTGGCTGCTGGGGTCCTGGGTTGTGGGCGTCCACACCTTCCATGAGGGTCCACCGTGACCCTCTAATTTGCGTAGTTTCCTCCCTAACTCTTCTTTAGACTGAACTCTCTCCATGTTTTTTTTTTTTTCATTCTGATTTTCTTTTCTTTTTTTTTTTAACTTTTATTTAATGAATATACGTTTCCAAAGTACGAATAATGGATTACTATGGCTTCCCCCCCATACCGTCCCTCCCACCCACAACCCTCCCCTTTCCCACTCCCTCTCCCCTTCCATTCACATCAAGATTCATTTTCGATTATCTTAATATACAGAAGATCAACTTAGTATACATTAAGTAAGGATTTCAACAGTTTGCTCCCACACAGAAACATAAAGTGAAAAATAATAGATGATTTTTTTTAATGATGATGAAATCAAATCAGACCTATTGTCATGTTTAATCCCAGTGAGAGTCAAGTTGGGAGTTGATAGTTTCTTTTCTTTTCTTTTCTTTTTTCTTTTCTTTTTTTTTTTTTTTTACAGAGGATCAGTTTAGTATGCATTAAGTAAAGATTTCAACAGTTTGCACCCCCATAGAAACACAAAGTGAAATATATTATTTGAGTACTCGTTATAGCATTAAATCTCAATGCACAGCACATTAAGGACAGAGATCCTACATGAGGAGTAAGTGCACAGTGACTCCTGTTGTTGACTTTACCAGCTATCTTTCTCTAGACTCAAGTAGTAAACTCCCTCCTTATTCTGCCATCTTGGTGCCTCTCAGCAGTGTTGTTTTCTGAGCACTTTTAGCAGAACATGTAGGAAATAACCTCTCCTATGGCTGTATTTCCTTAAAAGATACGTACACTCCTACCCTGAACTGCCTCTCCCTTAATTGTATTCGGAAGTGTTGCTACCCAGCATTTATAAGATGATGAACATCTGTGAGCAGAATGCAGCGGGTTATATGGCCAGGGGTCTGTGTACATGGTTTCTCCTCCTTCACCCTGCCCTTGCCATTTCTGGGATGCAAGTTGGATGAAGCAGAAGAAACCTGAGTGTATCAATTTGGTGTGGAACTGGCCCCCAAGTCTCTTTTGTTAGTTTCTCTTCTAATCTTTGGGGAATTTAACCCACTTGCTGTCGGTCTCTTGCTGTTTACTCCTGGGATTCCACTACCATACAGAAGTAAAAGAAAAACTGAAGTCAAGTACCAGCTCCATGAATCTCTTCTTGGAGATAAAGTTTGTTTTTCTTTAACATTGCAACTAAGATTCTTAAAGTGAGTACAATATTTATATTTTGCAATGATTATTTATTTTGGTAAGAATAATCCCCAATTGAGGAGTTATAATGTCAATAATAAAATAGTAATATTTCTACCTGTAAACACACAAGAAATGGGTATTTTGTAAGCTCCCAATAATGTTTTCTTTTAATTTTTTTAAAGACTCGGAGTGCACAATCATGCCTGAAGGGCTCTTCTAAGTTCTAAAGAAAAAGGTAAAGAAAAAAATTTCATTTCTGTTTGATAGTTTAGGTAAATGTCTGGGCTAAATTAATGATCCTACAAGTTTTAATGTTTTCTATAATATGTACACTCGCTAGAATGCTGGGATCACTTGTGCTAGTATTTAGACCATGTGTATGCCACTGTGTAGGACCCAGTCTTAAACAGTATTGAAATGGGAACATGTGAGCTGCTTTGTAAATGACCATCCTTATACTAGTTCCTTTTATGGTGATCGGCTTTGCAATGCTCTTCTGGGGCATACTAGTGAGCAATGTAGTAAACAAGCTCAGAGGTTTTGAAAAAAATTTCATCTGTCACTCATTGCGAGCCTTCAGTTGCTATAATTTCTTTCAGGATATGTTATTTCACTTCCGTTTTAAAAACTCACTTTAGGGAAAGAGTTTTTTTTTTTTTTTTTTAAACAAAATGACATTTGAAACAACTGAGAGATCAGTTTTGGAGAAGGGCATTATGAAAGCACAGAGGAAAGAAATATAATCTTTTACATTTAATTTAGTCCATATGTATTGACAAAGGATAAAAGAATTTAACATCATAAAAGAAAATAAATGTAACTCTAAGAAGTGTATTTTCTCCCCCAGACAGGTCATTCACTCTTCTTAGAATCTGTTTGATCTTTGGTGTTTTTCCAGTGTCTGAGCCAAAGTGAATGTTGTCAAAGACCATCCTATTAAATGAGTAGATGGCTTCCTGCAGGCCTTCAGTTTAGTGCAACAAACATTTGCTAATCATGTCTGCAGCCAGTTACAGAAACTCACGTTTTAATTCTTTCTGAGGGAAAAAGACACTACTACAACATAAGCAGTAATGGAAAAATCCAGAGTTTAATATTGAGCTCAATAGCAAGTACCATTTGTTACCATGTGTTAAACACTGGTTCCTGTAGCTACAAGGGAGATGCAGTTGGGGTGGCCTTTGGGCTGGTTACTGTAGCTACAAGGGAGATGCAGTTGGGGTGGCCTTTGGGCTGGTTACTGTAGCTACTGGGAGACATGGTTGGGGTGGCCTTTGGTGCAGATGCTGCTTCTGATGCATGCACCTCCTATTGAGGAGCCTGGTTTCAGTTTCAGCTCTACTTACAATTCAGTTGGCAGCAGGTGATGGCCATGAATACTTGGATTCCTGCTTCTCATGGGGGAGACCCAGATGGAACTCCTGGTTCCTGGCTTGTCCTGGCCCAGCCTTGGTGGTTGTATGCATTTGGAGAGTAAACCAGTGGATGGAAAAAATCTGTCTCTCTCTCTCTCTCTCTGCCTTTCAAATTAAAAACAATTAAAAAAAGACATGATCATCGCCCTTAAGGAATTTACAGTCACAATCTAGAGGTAGGGGGAAGGGGAAAGTGATTAAACAGAGAAGTCAGTGGAATTGGAAACCACACTAAGTGTTGTAAATTATGCAGGGCGATCTAGTCTGAGTTTGTGTCTCTGAGGAGGTGACCAGCACAATGGAGTAGTCAGGGTCCCAGTGCTCACAAATGATGATATTTGAGTTTATAAAGTTGAGGGCAGGAGTAGGAAAACCGCAAGGGATGGCGTAGCACCTCGTGGCTGGGAACCGCAAGGCTACCACCTCCCTAGGGCTGAAGGGGAAAGGGAGCAGCTTCAGGACCCAGGAGAGAGCTCCATGGAGAGAAGCTGGGAACTTGGCTGCAGGATCATCAGCCCTGAAGTGAGCTGCAGGACGGGGGCTAAAGAAATAAACTCTGCAGCCTCCCTTCCTTATCTCCCTACCACTCAACTCCTGCTGAGGCTTCTTATTGGCTGAAATGAGGAGAAACCATGGGCAAAGGTTGGCTTCTTGGGCAGAGCTCAGAGTGGGGAGGGAGAGTTGGTCTGCAGAAGAAATTGGAACTCCACCAGAAATTGATAAGGGAAGCAAGTGGGGGAGAGGGCTGGGAGTGTGAGAAATAGGACAGAGGGAAAAGTGTACCAAAGGGCCCAGTGCTGAAAGAAAGTCCTGGTGAAACACAGGAGCAGAAGACTGTAGGTGAGCAGGCTTGGATGGCTGGCTAGGTGCTGGTCTGGATCCTGAGCACAGTGAGAAGGGGAGTGGGAGAATCTCTCCTGAGTGAGGAGCTGGGAGGAAGGCCCTGAGCAGATCCATGCTTTGAAAAGGTCAGGAGGGGTGGGGGCGAGGCCAGAGTGGACAAGAAACAGCAAGGTCAGTGTGTATTTCAGGTGCTTTGCAATGTTCACAGATCTTATGTTCCAATACTTGATAGGCATCTTTCCAGGTTAGCACCTCCTTTTTATTTTATTTTTGATGACTTGATTATTTGAAAGGCAGAGTGAGAATGAGAGTGAGATCGATCTCATATATATATATATACACACACACACACACACACACACACACACACATACATACACACATTATATATATATATAAATTTCATTCCCCAAATGGCCACAACAGCCAAGTCTGAGTCAGACCCAAGTGAGGAGCCAGGAACTGCATCCTGGTCTCCCACATGGATAGCAGGGGCCCAGGTACTTGGGCTATCATCTGCCTTCCCAGGTACATTAGCAGGGAGCTGGATTGGAAGTGCCACAGCCAGGACTAGAATTGCTATTCTGACATGGGATGCTGAGGTTGCAGGTGGCACCTTAATTCACTGTGAAACAAGGCCAGCTCCAGACCTTCTTAAAGCTGCATAGTATTTCATTATGTACACAAATCTCTTCTCTAATTTTAAGGGGGGGTCACTTCAGCATGGCCAGTTTCTTCTATTATGTGCAGCGCTGCAGTGAACATTCTGTTGTCTGAAGAATAGATACCTATTTCTGTGTGTGGACATGTGACCAAGAGCCAGGAGCTTCTTCCAGGTCTCCCATGCAGGTGCCGGGGCCCAAGGACTTGAGCCATCTTCTGCTGCTTTCCCAGCCATAGCAGAGAGCTGGATAGGAAGTGGAGCAGCTGGGACTTGAACAGCCGTATATATGGGATACTGCCACTGCAGGTGGTGGTGTTATCTGGTATGCCACAGTGCTGCCCCAAGGGATTTTAATGTCTTAAAGTTGTCTACATTATATATTCCAATGGATAAAGTAATTAGCCAACAAAATTTCTGATAACTTCACATGCGAAACAAATAGCCAGACAAAGAAACCCACAAAACTTTTGGAAATGCTACCCAAGTAGTTTACAATGTTAGATATATTTGAATTATTAGTTAAAAATATAATGCAGTTTCATTACTTCATTAATCGTAGTTGCCTGAATACCAAAATGAAGAGGAAAGGAAGATAACAAGTAGCAGCAATTTTCTTGATATAGTAAACAGGGTGTGGCTGCAAGTGCAGAAGCTAACTCAACCAGGGCTAAGCACAGAAGGGCCCCTTTTATCATAAAACTGGAAAATGCAGACTAGAAGTGGCTGTGGGCACCTGACCCGGACACTGGAATGAGGCGGCAGGTTGTGCTTTCTCCTTTACCACTCCATCCGCCATTACTCTGCCTCCCTCTGGTCCTGCTTCATCTCTCTCAGCCTTTCACAGTCACTGTGTGTGTCAGGCAAGGTGGCCGCCAGCAGCCAGGACTAGCATGTCTGCATGTGGTGCTCCCAAGGCCAAGGGTGTGGCCTCTTTGTAGAGGAGACCAGGATGACTGATGGGGAAGGAAGTCGTTCCCGTTGTTCAGAAGTGGTTTAGACGCAGGTGTTTGGTGCAGTGGTTCAGATGTTTCCTGGGATTCCTGCACCATATACTACTGCAGTGTCTGGCGGGAGTCCTGGTTCTGCTTCTGACCCAGCTTCCTGCTGATGCACATCCTAGAAGGCAGCAGGTGAGAGTGTAAGCACCTGGGTCCTTGCCACCTACATGGGACACCTGAATTGAGCGCAAGGCTTCCGGCTTGGCCATGGCCCAGCCCTGACTGCTGTAGGTATTTGAGGGGTGAATGGGTGAATGCAAGATCTCCTCACTAACCCCTCCTGCCCTGCCTCTGCCCCTTTACTGTCTTTTCTCTCTCTGCCTTTCTAACTGGGGATAGAGTTGTAGCACAGTGAGTTAAGCTGCTGCTTGTGATGCCAGTGTCCCATATTGGAGTGACAGTGTGAGTCCTGGCTACTGTGCTTCCAATCTGGCTCCTTGATAATATGCCTGGGAGGGCAGTGGAAGATGGCTCAAGTATTTCAGCCCCTGGCACCCATGTGGGAAACCAAGATGGAGTTCTGGGTTGCTGACTTCAGCCTGGCCCAGACATAACTATTGGAGCCATTTGGGGAGTGAACCAGCAGATGAAAGACCTCTCTTTTCTCTTTCTCTCTCCCTCTGTGAGTGTACCTATCTCTTTCTCTCTCTTTGCCTTTCAAATGAATAAATAAATCTTTAAATGAATAAAAATTAAAAAGAAATGATTTAGCTTTTATGAAACGTAGGTTCTCCTTTTGTAGGATATCTATGAGTTTAAGTGAATGTTGATGTAAAGTGGGAGTACTTGTTCCTGCAGGGGTACCCAGTAAGTGGTAGCTCCGAGGAGAAAGTCAGCAGGTGGTATGCCTTGGGAGGAAGCTAATGGACTCAGTCAAGTTCTAGTGACACATGAGGTGCCTGTGTGAGACTTAGAAAGGACTGTCTTGGGGCTAGTGCTGTGGCTCAGGAGGTTAAAGCCCTGACCTGCAGTGCCGGCATCCCATATGGGTGCCAGTTCGATTCCCAGCTGCTCCATTTCCAATCCAGCTCCCTGCTAATGCACCCAGGAAAGCAGCAGAGGATAGCCCAAGTGCTCCTGCACCATGTGGGAGACCTGGAAGAAGCTCCTGGCTCTTGGCTTCAGATCAGCTCAGCTCCAGCCATTGGGTCCATATGGGAAGTGCAGATGGAAAACCTCTCTCTGTAACACTGTCTTTCAAATAAATAAAATCTCAAAAAAAAAAAATATCTGTAAGGTAACCAGTGACAAGGATCTGGGAGTTGGGGATAACTCTTTGGAAACTTTGTGGTTTGAATCATGTGAGTTTGTTAGTGTTTAAACTGTCTTCATTCTGGTCCAAATATCCTCAGCTTCTCATAGTTAGAGACATAGACTGTGTGCTGGGAAGAGCTCAGGTGGTGGCTGTGCCCTGCAGGTATGTTGGAGCAAGTTCTCACCTGAGAGTTTTGTGCCAAAACAACACTGTGTTCTTGTATTGTTCTCTCAAGAGATTCTGGCCTACAGCTTGGGTTGTTCCCTTTTTTCATTGCTATTTTTATCCATTTGATGGTGTGGGTTTTTCTAAACTCTCACTTCATTTATTTCAAAGCAGCACTTTGAGAAAAAGACCCGTGCCAGTTTTATTTCTAAGTGTTATGTGAGGTCACAAGAGTGAACATTACAGAAAGCAATGAAGCAGGCAGAACAGTTCTTTCTGGGATCAGATTCAGTTTCTAACTGCAGGGCAGATATTTCTGGAGGAATCCACGACTTCAGAGGGTACGGTAAGCCCCTGGTAGTTATGGGGAGAATCCAGGGATGAAAACACAACCGTGGATAAATGTGAATATGCTATCATGTTTAGGGTGTAAACTTCTAGTTTTGAAGAATCATTTATATAATCTGCATTCTTTTAAAGTAGATGTGTAAGTAGTAGTAAATAGTAATCCCTACCACTCACAATGGTGTGTACTTATGTTATGTGAAAAGGAATTTATTACTAAAAGGGACAAAATGTGAGGAAATTATTTCATAATAAACATGGGTTTTTCTAAATTGCTATTATACCAGATCACCGCAACTTAAAAGTTTAAAACAACACAAATTTATCATCTCATAGTTCTGTAAGGCAGTAGTTCAGGTAGCACAGCTGTTTTTCTCTGCTCTGGGATTCACAAGCCAGAAATCAAGACATTGGCCAGGCCATGCTCCTTCCTAGAAGAAACACTCTTGGGGAAGAATAGGCTTCCAGGCTTTCTCAGGTTCTTGGCCAAATTCAGTTTCATGTGTTTGTAGGACTAAGGTTCTTCTCAGTGTCTGGAGGCCAGCTGCATCCTTGGTTCATGACCCCTTCCTTATCTTCAAAGCCAGAAATGGTGGGTGGAGTCTTTCTCAAGCTATGAATCCCCCTGGCCTCTCTCCTGTCTTGTTTCTCGTAGCATCTCTCCAAGAGACTGTGCCTTCCTTTTTCTGCTGCTAACAGCTTATATAATTGTATTGAAGCCATTGGGATAATCCAGAATGCTCTCCATATTTATTTGAAAGGCAGAGTTACAGGGAAGGGTGGGGGGAGTCTTCCATCTGCTGGAGGGGGCTGGGGAGAGAGAGAGGTGTCTTCCATTCACTGGTTCACTCCCCAGATGGCTGCAAAGATTGGAGCTGCACCAATCTGAAGCCAGGAACCCCAAAGTGTGACTGTATTTGGAGTTAGCATTTTTAAAGAGGTAAAAAAGGTTAAAATGGGTCCATTGGTGTGGATCCTAATCCAGCACAACTTGTGCTCTTCTAAGGAGCAGCAATGAAGACCCAGGGAGATGTGAAGACGCGGGGAGAAGGCAGACACCTCCAAGCCAACAAGAGAGCCTCAGAAGACACCAACTTGCCTGTACTTGATATGGACTTCAGCCTCCAGAACCGTGAGGAAATAGGTCTGCTGTTGACCATCCAATTTGTGGTACTTCACTATGGTAGCCCGAGCAGATAGTGTAGGCAGCTTTGTTCCAACTTGGGGGCCAGAGAAGAGCTGGCAGCTCCAGCCTACAGCAGATGTCCTGTCTTCATCGGGTGGCAGTTAGGATTTCTTCAACTCATGTGGCTCCAGAGAGACCTCTAGTGCCTGGTCACCTCTGCCTTGGTTTCCTAGTTGTGAATGATTCCTTCCCCAGAAACCCTTCACAATGTCAGAAAGAAGAGTCCTCTTCCGGGTGACTTCAGGGGCCACATGGCAGAGTACCGTGAGACCTGGGTACTTGAGCTCCATCATGTCCCCTCTCTCTGGCATTGTGATACCTATAGTTTTGTGACCTTGGCAGAAGACTGTGGCATAACTAGTTTTGGAAGGTCAGGTGATCTGAGTTCTTGGTCCAGCATTGTAAATAATTAGAAATTTTACACTGGGAAAGTCACTATTTTTCTCTAGCTGTGAAATGAAATGTGGTTGTATTCCAGAATTCTGTAATTGTGTGAATCATTAGTAGACATGGGTTACCTAGATGACTTAAAATAGGAATCTGAGAAATACCACCATAGACAGCTGAAGCTCAAATTCTACTCGTCCTGGGAAGTGCAGGACATCATAGCTTCCACTGCCATGTTGCTTCTTTTGCTACATTTCATGTAGCTACTCATTCATTTTAGATAAAAGGAAAGATTTCACAATAACTTCTTCTTGGAAAGGATCGAAGTTCAGTGTAGGAAATAAAGATTGTCTATTAATTTGCCTTCTACTTTTAACCACACTTCATTTCAGAGAATAATATTTTCCCTTATGTTTGAGTGGGGTCATAGAAACAGAATGTAGCAATGAAAACATGCTTCTCAAAAACCCACATAGCGCTAATGAGCACCTACCCTGGAGGGCATGCCCAAGTTCAAAATGTGGAACTCGGAGAATGCAAAATTTTTCATCTGCTGTTCATTATTGCTGTATGTATTCAGTTTCCTAAAGTCAGATGGTTTCTGTTAGGACACTGAATTTTCATGTCCAGTAAACATTTGTATGCACACCTCTCAAATGTGTTGAGTAAACAGAATGAATTCAACTTCCTGTGAGTTAAACTCATTTTGAATGTGAACATGCTTGAGAAACAGCAAAAAACTACCACCAAGAGAAAGTTCTGAGGTTCGGTTTGTACTCACCTTCTTTAGGACTTACTTTCTCAAAGATGAGACCTGAAAGTACTGGGTCTGAATATAAAATGATAGAGTGCGTGCTAGGTAAGACTTGCATTAGCTCTAGTCTGCTTGCTAATTGGAATGTGAAAATAGCTTTGGAATGAAATCCAACCAAATTTTATTAGTTTGGCAGACCATTGAAGCCTGGGGAAAAGTGAAAAAAATATGCAGTTTTTGACATCTAAAATATTTTACCTCTAGGTCATGAATTTCTTTGGCAAATTTATATTTCTTGGATGAGTTACACATTATGAATTTAGGGGTTCTCAACATATTTGAATATAATTTGTAGTTGAATATACTGTATGTGTTTATTCTAACTCTTCAAATCTTTTTTTTTTGTCTATTATTAAATGAGTCTCAAGATTTTAAGGAAGAGTTTCAGAGAAAGCCATGATTTTCAGAGAGTGATAGAATAATTTTTAAACTAAAAATGTTAAGTAATAGAATAGTGTAATTAGGGCCAAATTCCAAGAGCAGGGAAGTGAGGGAGAATGAGCTGTTTACTATAGCAACAATAGTGAAAATGGAGAATGAAAAGCTTTCCAGAGGCCTCAAGTACCCTTGAGAGCAGTGTGGTCAGCAGGGGTTTTGTCTCAAAAAGAAAGTTTCCTTTGATCATCAGGTACTAAATTGAACCTCTTAGTGGGAGCCCCAAATAGTATGATAAACTGATAGACTGCAACCTTTGTGCTTGTGCATGGGGCAGGTGCATGTGAGGGGAAGGGCTTGGGAGGATGTACCCATAGGCAATGCATTTCGCATTTACAGTGAAAATGTGCTTATTTGAATGACAGACTTATTGGGGAGAGGTGATTGGAGGAGATAGTGATTTTTTTCTTGGGCAATTGAGGAAGATTCATGGGGAAGTGTCATTGTTTCAGGTCCTTAAAGAATCTGTAGTAGTTGATAAATACAGGAAAATTAACCACAATTAACAATGACAGAAACTAAAGTTTGAGTTTGTTAGGTATAGTCTCAAGCTCTTTAAAATGTATTCTCTTAAACATTAAGGACGAGTAATTATTGTGTCCATTTTAAAGGTGAGGTAGATGTAATAATACCAATCTGACAGAAGGGTGTTTGAACTCCAACGTGTTGATTGATGTAACTGTGCTTCTTCCAAGAGAAGAGAAATCTAAAAGGATGAGACATTGAAAGAAGTGTTTTATGAGAGAAAATGAAATGTTTTGTGTGGCTTAAGTACCAGATGTTTGGGTCACTGAAGTGGGAGAAAGAGCTAGAAACAAGGTTGAGGCCAGATGGCAAAGCCTTGACTATCACTCTAAACACTTTTCTCCTATCTGAGCAGTTTTGCAATGGGGGTAATGCAACTTGCAACTTAATTACATAATTACATGAAAGTGCACTGATGAGGCATGGTTAGTAGGAGTGGACAAAGGCAGATATGGGAGACATTACAGAAAGTAGAACTGGCTGTAACTATGTGAGGTGGGAGAGAGAGTACCAGAATTTCCACGGTTTGGCATATAGTTGTACTATTGACATAAGGCGTACAAGGGCAAGAATCTGGTATGAAAATGATATGTTGGATTAGAAGTGTATTGAGTTTGGGACAATTATCCAGATAGAGCTGTCCAGTGAGAATTAGGAAAATCCAAGTGTAGGACAGGGTAAGAGAATATGGCAGATCCATTACAAACGTTAAGAGTTGAGGCTGGGGAACAGCATGGAATATATTATAAATATATATTATATATAATATATATCATAAAATTATATATAATTATATATAACATAATTTATATATTTATAATATAATATAAATATAATATTTATATATAAATATATATTATAAAAATGAGGAAGACCAATATTAAATTACTGAGGAGTCCTGAATTTAAAGATTAGAGAGAGACTAAAAGTGGTAGGAAGACATAGGCACATGGTCAGATGACCCAAAGGCTAAACAGGCCTTTCCCAGATTATCCGGGGCTGGAAAGTGTCTTGTGGGTAGTGACCTTGTCTCATAGTTTGGTTCCTTGTTTCAGTTAGCGGTGTCTTATGTGTAATGGGAACTCTATAGGTGCTTGTTGAATTGAGTTGTGTATGTCTGTCCTGGGGAATCAAGGATATGATAGGTTCTGCAGCGAAAGTTGTGTGTATTCCTTGAGTCTTTGGCTTTCTTTAGTAGCCAAAACAGGAGCAATAAAGTGAGGATAATAATTCTTATGATCAATTCAGTATTGATTTTATTCTTAGGCTTTTGAATATTTTCTTTTTGTGCATGTCACAATAGGGATTATCAGGCCTAAGAGAACAAACAAGTGTAGTCAAGATGGGAAACACAAAAAGGCCTGAGCATGGACCATATTTTAAGAAAGGCAGGTAGAGAGACATAAATGATGGGTTTGGAATGGGTTATTGACTAAGAAAGCCAGGGACTGTTCCGTTTCTTTAGGCATAAAATGAAGGGACTGGGACTATGAAATGAAATGAAATGAAAGCCAGGGACTGTTCTGTTCTATTATTCATAAAATGAAGACGATAGAGTTCACATTACCCTTTTCAATAAGCTCATTGAGAATTCTACATGTTTCACAACCCTGAGGTATATTTACAGAAAAACTTGGCAGTGATAGCTTTAAAATGGACTTCCTGTCACTGGAAAGCATCACAGGCATATTTAGATAAGGGAGCTCCAAAATGACCAGGCAAACAGCTCTTCAGTGTGATATTTCTAAGTCTAATGAGCAATTAGGGAGGACTGATAGAATCCACCAGGCTCATCTAAGCTGCAGACCCCATGGAGAGCTAAGCTAATGGAAAGAGTAGAACACTACTTAACCCCAGGCCTGAGGACATGAGCTGAGAGATGGGGTATTTTGGAGATATATGGACTCTTGCATAATGAGGGAAAATGGCCATGACCAGATTAGTGCTTCATTTTCTGCTCTCTGCACTAGAGGGTTTGATAACAGTGTAGTTTATGTCCAAATGCCGAAGACTCTGGCAAAGGCAGACACTGAGACAGCATTTAAAGGCAAGAGATAACAGCCAGAAGAAATTTCATTTATGTTTAGGGTTGTCAGATAAAATACAAGATGCCCAGTTAAATGTGGATATTCAAGTCAATAAAAAATAGTATATTTCCCATGCAATATTTAGGATAGATTTATACTAAAATTGCTGGAATCTATCTGAAATTAAAATTTAACTGGTTGTGTTGTGTTTTTATTTGCCATATCTGACAATCCCACTTAAGACCACAGAGAAGTTGTCTTTCTTTTTGCAGTGAAAACTCAAGAGTCAAAGAAACTAATTTAGGTTTATTTTTTATTTTATTTTTTTTGACAGGCAGAGTGGACAGTGAGAGAGAGAAATAAAGGTCTTCCTTTTGCAGTTGGTTCACCCTCCAATGGCTGCTGCGACCGGCGTGCTGCAGCTGGCGCACTGTGCTGATCCGAAGCCAGGAGCCAGGTGCTTCTCCTGGTCTCCCATGCCGGTGCAGGGCCCAAGCACTTGGGCCATCCTCCATTGCACTCCCAGGCCACAGCAGAGAGCTGGCCTGGAAGAGGGGCAACCGGGACAGAATCTGGCGCCCCGACCGACTGAGACTAGAACCCTGTGTGCCAGCGCCACAGGCGGAGGATTAGCCTATTGAGCTGCGGTGCCAGCCTAATTTAGTTTTAAACATTTAGGTTGGTCCTAGGGAAACTTCAGTGTATACCAAGCTGTGGAGGTGAGAAACCAATTAAGAACAGGCATGTTTGAAGATCCTTGGGATGTTCCTGGCTTATCTTTTATAGACATATATTTTTTAATGGTGGTAAAGTATGCAAAGCATACTCATTTGGAAATGAACAATCAGTGCACTAAGTATATTCCCATTGTTGTGCAACCAGCACCACTGTGGGGAGCAACCAAGACTAGACTAAATTACTGGAACTGCTAAGACTAATTCTATGCATCTGATCTCCCACAATATGGCGCTGAGAGAGAGCAAACAACTTCCACACAGTTGCCTCACCAATTCAACTAACAAGCTGCAGGAGCTGATCCTGCTCCTGATTGGAGGAGAGCAGCGTGCTCGGCGTGTGGGCAGCAGAGTTGGGATTGGTGGAAGAGGACTATAAAGGAGGAGAGAGACAACATGCACCAGGAACACCTGAGGAACATCTGAGCAACCCCTGAGAGAGCCGGCCGGTGGTGTGCCGCTCCTCCACGGAAGCGGGGAAAGTGGCGGGGATGCCACCCCTCCGCGGAGGTTGGGGGGGGGGGGCGGCAGCTAACCCGGGATGGCGTCGTTCCTCCTTGAGTAGGGGAATGGCAGCAAACCTGGGAAGGGTTGGGCAAAGAGAACAGTGCAGGGTCCGGTGTCGTTCCTCCACGAGTGGGGGAACGACACACCACTATCCATCTGCAGAGCTTTTCACCTTCTGATGAAATAGTGACTCCCCATTCCCCTTCATCACCTCTCTGGCAACCACCATTCCACTTAGTGTCTCTATGAATTGGATTCTTCCAGATACTTTGTATCAGTAGAACCACACAATATTTGTTCTTTTGTGTCTGGCTCATTTCACTAAGCATAATGTCTTCAGGGTTCACCCATGTTGTAACATGTATTAGAATTTCATTCCTTTTTAAGACTAATACTCCACTGTTTATAGTTCCATATTTTGTGTGTTCATCTGTTGATGTCGTTTGGGCTGTTTCCACATTGTAATATTTTGTGAATGATGCTGCTGTGCTTGCTGGTGTGCAAATATCTTTTCAAGCCCCTGTTCTCAATGGTTTTGGATAGATACCTAGAAGAAGAATTGCTGGATCATATGATACATATTTTGAGGGAATACTATGATGTCTTAAACAGTGGATATACTACCCACCAGCAATGCACAAGGATTCCAGTTTTTCCACATACTCACCAATACTTCTTACCTTCTGTTTTTTTGATGGTAGCCATCCTAACATGTATATGTAGATATAACTCGTAAGGATAATGTGTTTCTTCTGCTCCTAGTTTAAACAAGAATGATTCTTTTCTTTTTTGATCCAGATCACAGTGATCTTTGGCATTGACATCAAATTATACATTTATTGCAGAAGATATGTCTATAAGGTTAGGAAATTTTAAACTGGTTCTGAAGGTACTGTCGAAAATAAGAGTTCTAGAAAAATTTCAAGCAGTGACAGCATTATTGGACTAAACACATCCCGCACTCCCCTCCACCTTGCCTTTACAGGATACAATATGCACAAGTTCTAGTCTGGTTGCTAAAACACACGTTACAACACAGATGTCATGATTTTGGAGTCAAACCACATAAGCCCATACCTAAAAATGGGCTAAACAGATGTCTCTTCCTGGATGTTAGTTCCCAGGATATTCTGAATTTTCAGGAAGAACACCTAGGATGACAGATTCAGAGACAGGATGAGCTGAATCCAAGTTTCAGGCAGAATTTGATTCCTCCCAAAACTCATTATTAACCACCTTTCAGAAACTCAAGGACAACTGTTCCTATGGTAACAGAAGTCTGAAAGCGAGAAGGCGTTCAGCAGCTTGGCATTTCTTAGCTGGCTCCACACTGATCCACCTTGCTGGTGGAGGAAATCACGGACCTGGGCCAAACACAACCTCACCGGCAGGAGATTTTACTCCACAGCTCCCCTTCCCCATAGTTCCTTAGAAGAAAGCAATCTGGTGCTGTCTTGTGTGTCTTCCAGCCTTCCTTGGGTCCCTTTCCCAATATCCTGGTGTGTGCATGTGGGATTCTAAAGCTATTCATATTCTGCCTGTCTGACTCATCTCTATGTAAATCTACAGTCATGTTCTTCGTAGCTGTCAGTGAATCATTCAAGGTGTGCCTTTGGCTCAGTTGAATAAATCCATAGGAATAAAAAAAATTCTAGTGTCCCTTGAGCAGGGCTTCTTGGATTGCTTATTAAGCAGATGCCACATTTTATTAGCTGTTCTTTTTTATTGTAAAAACATTTCCTATAAGTGAACACTTCTGAATTTTTTAGTTTCATTTTGGTTGGTATTAATGGCACCTTTTATTGTTTCTCTACTTGTAAGTGACCAATATGAGCAGCCTGCTTGTAGATTTTGTAGCTACAAATGCCATTTTATTTTTAAATACTCTCATCCCTCTGAATAAATTCAATGTAATTTACAGTATATGTGAGGGTAGACTCATAGATGGCCTTGTGCTTTTAATACCATACACAGATGGTGATATGAGCAACTGAATACACAGCCCACATGGACACAGCTCATTTTGAACCACAGACTCAATGCAGAACTGATCTGATCTGTTAAGGCTGTGCCTCATTTGGCACATTGTTTGTAAATATCCAGGAGTGATTATCAGTGCTTTTCTTTTATCCAGAAATATTAATTTGGCAGTATTGACATAGTTAATGAGTTTTTCTGGAGATCATATATATATCAAGTTGACATATACAAGTGAAACACACATGCAATCTTTCCGTCTCTTCCCCCTGCCATCAACAACATTGTACACCAGAAGCTCTGCCTGGCAGAGGACAAAGACCTTGAGTCCAGCTCTTCCACTCTTCTGCTCCACTCCAGACCCTCACAGCTTTGACTCAAAGACAACTCAAAGCTTTTTTTATTAAAATGTATTTTTTATTTATTTAAAGGTAGAGACAGATCTCTCCCATCTGCTGATTCACTCCTCAAATGCTCTCAATGGCTGAGTCTGGACTAGGCT